AAATGAGAGAAAGACTGAGTGTGAGACTTTGATATTAGATAAAATGAATATTGATAAAGTTTACCTTTATGTACAGAATCTGAATATCGCAAAATATTTTAAAAAATTGCAATAATATCGTATCGTGCGTTAAGTATTGTGATAATATCGTATCGTGGGATGTATGGTGATCCCCACCTCTGTTGATTATTGTAATTAATCAAGTCTTTGCTTCAATTGTTTAAAAAGTGGGCAAAGAGAAAAGCTTTCTTTTAATGATGATGATGTAGAAGTCCAGTTAACACCTTCCACACAGATTGAACCCCTGCATCATCACTTTTTGAATTCTCAAGCACACTACCAATATATTATTATTATTATTATTATTATTATTATTATTATTATTATTATTATTATTATTATTATTACAAGCCATCAGTTCTTGGACATTAGTGAGAACAAGTAGATCTAGCAGGAATGTCACTGTTGAGGTACTCCATGGGACAGAAGTAGAAAATGCTGGCAGTATCATATAATTGACTGGCTAACTGTGGATATTAATCACTGATTCAATTTGAGCCTGGACCAGACAGCGTGCTATTGATCCATAAACCTTAGAGTATGTGGTGCATGGAAAAAGCGCAGCAACTCTTTCTGCATTAGCTGATGGTAACATATATTCTGATCTTCATCTACAGTACCTTATAGTTACAGCCATATTATGAAAACATTAACCTGTGTGTTAGTGATGCACAGTTACACCTGTACGCACTGCAGACACTTTTTTTTGGATGCTTGTTATTTCCACGATTTAAGATGAGATACTCAAGTTATTCCAAAAGTTCAGGAATGACTGCGGGTGCCAATATTCATGCTTTAGAAAGCATATCTAGGGTTGAGTCATTCAGTTAGAGTACACAAAAAGGCTTCTGTCTTCTAAACCATTTTGGTGTTTAGTTGTTTTTAAAGAGAACCGTAACTCTCTGTGATGTGCTTTTTAAATGTAGTAGCAAAACACAAAGAACCTTACTGTAGCTGTCAGATGAGCAGAGATGGTGTATGACCGTGATGATAAAGGGGTGTTTTTCTTTCTATGTGTTACAGGAGCTAGTACATAAAGTGGATACTTTGTTCTATTCGATTCAGTTTTATTTAATTATACAGCACCAAATCACCACAACAGTTGTCTCAAGGTGCCCTATATTATAAGGTAGACCCTACAATAATGCATAATGAGAAAAACCCAACAATCAGATGACCCCCTTTGAGTAAGCGCTTTGGCGACAGTAGGAAGGAAAAACTCCCTTTTAACAGGAAGAAACCTCCAGCAGAACCAGGCTCAGGGAGGGGCGGCCAGAGATTAATAACAAGTGTGATTCAGTGCAGAGAGGTCTACACAGTGAGTGAGAAAGGTGACTGAAGAAGAAATACTAAACCTATTGCAGCATAACTAAGGGAAGATTCAGGGTCACCTGGTCCAGCCCTAACTATATGCTTTAGCAAAAAGGAAAGTTTGAAGCCTAATCTTGAAAGTAGAGATAGTGTCTGTCTCCTGAATCCAAACTGGAAGCTGGTTCCACAGAAGAGGGGCCTGAAAACTGAAGGCTCTCCCTCCCATTCTACTGTTAAACACTCTAAAAGTAGCTGTAGATCAAAGCACATTTTCACAATTTGGGCTTTCGGTGTGTTTGAGTGTGCAGGCCACAGATTTTGTTAAACCCTGCCTCAGAGAGAAGACTCAGGATTGCTTAAGTAAACTTTCCAGCACCAGATGCTAAATAACCAGTAATACAGTGGTCCCTCGTTTATCGCGGGAGTTACCTTCTAAAAATAACGTGATAAGTAAACTCCGCGAAGTAGCCAACTTTATTTTTTACAATTATCATAGATGCTTCATACATCATACACTCTTCATACACTCTTACAGACAGGCATGAACATTTTCACACTTTTCTCTCTTGTTTAAACACTCAAACCTTCGTAGAAAAATAAGCCCAGTATTACAGAATGAAACCAAAGGAACCCACAGGTGCCTTTGACAGTGCAAAATGTGTAGTTGACATTGCCGTGTTTGTTGGGGAGGGTACAGCACTTCAGAGTCACACTGCTAGCAATCGAAGATTTACGTACATTTGACAAGCTGAACTCATTCTGTACTGGACAGGGGACACGGCAGGAGATTGACTGACAATGGGCTACAGCCAATCAGGACACAGAACACAATGCACTTAAAAAAAACAAAAAAGCATGCAAAATTGCGCCAAAAAAAAATCCCAGAAACAGCGAGGCTGTGAAAGGTGAACCGCGATATAGCGAAGGACCACTGTAAATGACTGATTCATGTGTGTTTTCACCCCTTTATGTAATGTTTTTTGTCACACTGT